TTAGCTAGTGTGTACATTTCCTGGGTAGGAAAATGCACACGCAGGGTTCCTGGCCACAAGACCTTGTCTGGGCTGTGCTGAAGCTGCCTCTGGGGTAAGGAGAGGTGGCAAGGTGCCCTGTGTCACCAAGAACACATTCAAGAAGTCAGCCCTGCAGGATCCAGACAGGAGCCAGCAAATAGGTGGGCTTTAGTGATGGAAGCTGAGCATGGCATTGTAAGGACATGGCCACAGATGGTCCACAACACATCAGCTCTCTCCTCTCCGTCAGCAAAGCAGCCGAGCTGTGCGCTGGATGGCAGTCCAAGGACTGTGACTTGGCTGGTCAGAAGGTCCCAAAGTCCAGCTGCCTGACTACTTTTAATACAGTCACAGGAGGCAATCAGACGATGGCTTTGTAAACTGGCAAAAGATTCAGGAACAATTCAGTCAGGAAAGGGACGGGGCTCCAGACCCATGAGTGTCCAATAATATATCTGTTCCCCCATCAGTAGGAGCCTTGTTCCTGTTCTCAGACCCCTCATAGTGTGTTCCCCCTTCTTATTATGCAAGGAGTAACCCAAAGGCTTCTTTCAATTTCTGAAATCTATGATTAGGGGTCCATCTACCCCTCCCACCACATACACACCCCTGTCTTCCTTGGCAAACAGAAAATGGGTCGGGAGTGAGTTGTGTTAGTGTCAGGAGGGATGAGGAGCTTCTTTCTCATCCTTGAAGATGCTTCCACGGGAAGACAGACAGTTTCAGGACAGAGCAGGCTCTCCCTTGCGTAGACACTGTTCAGCACATCAGTGGTACAGCCCAACACCTGGCAGTGGTCTTCCTGGTAGCCGGGGCTAAGACCTGCTGGGTTATTTCACACTCTGCTTCTCTGATCCAGCCAGGCCACCCTTTGATGTGTGAGTCACCCACGGCTGACACCCAGAGGCTGGGCTGGGTTTGGATGAAGTTCTCAGGCTGATTCTGCTTCAGACTAGATGAGTCAACCCAACTGTTAGGGTTTAGATCTAAGATGGCCTCAAAACTTCATGTGTGTGGAGGACAAATGAATTATAGGAGTGCTGTAACTGTCCTGCTGCTGAGAAGTGGGGTCTAGTTGGGAAAGGTGGGTCACTGCGAGGGGGGGGTGGCTTGAAAGGGCAAATCAGTCTCTCCCTCTCCCCTCCTCCTCCTCCGCCTCCCTCCCTCCCTCCCTCCCTCTCTCTCCTTACTGACTGCCATGGGGTTAGCAGCAATTCCGCCCTATGCCCCTCCTTTAAAATGTGGGTGTCGGTATTGTATCTCAGTGATGAAGAAAGCGAATAAGACACCAGCGAACACTTGAAATTCTGTTTTTCTCAAGTCCCTTGTAGCAGACGGTGCGGAGCGAGGCCCACCTGGTTTGGGGGGGGGTGGATGGATGGGTGGAAGCGCCACCTAGTGGTGGAAAAGAGGAACTTGCCTGGGTGCACTAGGACTCTGGCTTTCGGAACCTCACGCACTTCATCTGCTTTTCCATTTCTCAGGGTCTCACGTAAATATCGTACGACTGAAAACGAGGCGTCCAAGCCAAATGAATAGGGTCCTGGAGAAAGCTGTTAGTCCAGTGGTGCTGCCAAGCTCAGTGACAGGTACGTGGACGAGCTCTGGACACCTGGACAGCCCACAGATACTGATCGAAGGGTACAGCTGAAGGGTCAGTGACCACAGTCCCAAGGAGGGTGTTTTGTTGCAAGGAGTCGGGAATTAAGAGCGCACCTGCCTTCCACTTTACAAGCTCTCTGAACTCACACCCCATCCTTTTTAACAACTTCTGTTTAGGACTATTACTCAATGAGAGGAGTAAATACCAGAGAAATTCATTTGCATGAAGCCAGCTATGTGGCAGATTTTGCAGAAAAGCTGTAAAAAACGCCACCCCCATGTTCCCGTTTCCCAGATGAAAAGAGTGAGGCTGAGGGGTTAAATGGTCAGTCAGACATGTCAGAGTTATGGGCGAGGCGAGATGTAGGACCCTGTATCTTCAAGAGATGGTTTTTATTAGTACAGTGTGTTTATTAGTACTCGTGATACACAATGAAGATGTTCACTGAGGGGAGCTGGCACATACACATTTGGCATCTTAGCCCTTTTTACTTCCCTTTCCTCTCTTCTCCCTCCTTCCCTAGATCCTTTTGCCATTCCCCAAAGGTCTTCTCGTTTCCTATGAACTATTTTTTATATTTCTCATAAAGTTACTCATACTTTGGATTTCCCATATAAGGAAAGCCATGCAAAATTTAACCCTCTGTGTCCGAAGATTTTGCTGTTGTTTCCTGTGTTCTCATACGTGAAACCTGTTTCAAAAATCATCCCAGGGAAGAGGCCGTTAATGTGTATAACTTGTTAGTACTTGATACCAGAAAGGGAAAGCAAGTAAGCAAACGAAACCACTTGCTGTTACAAAACCAAGGAGCATCCTGAACATGGACAGTTCCTCTCCTTCTGGGGCCTGAAATTATTTCACAGTATTCTGGACCCTCAGTGGATCCAAAAGATTGGAAGGAGGATCTTACCAGGCTCCAGAAATTCTTGGTTCTGCATTATAAAACTTAGAGCTTCACAAAGTGGTATAACCTAGATTTACAAGGATTACGCACTTGGAATAATGGCTCTGCAGGAAGCCCAGCAATCAAACGGTGCCTGCCAGTGGGTGGGCCATGTTCTTGTCTTCCCACCAGGAATGGATCATGGACCCCCCTACTGAACAGGGTCAAGGAAGAGTTGAGAGCAGGAGGTGTAGTCAAGGAAAGTGACTTCTCTTTGAGAGGGTTGTTAGGTTTGGCTGGAGTGGCCAAAGGCATGTGCAGTGGGGACAGTGGATGACAGCTCTCATAAAAAGGTGAAAGGAGTTTCACGTGGGAGAAGGTCTTATGGGTAGCTCACCCCAATTTTACTCCGTGAATTGATGGCTCCTGCCTCCCATGTCTGGGGCTCCAGGTTTCTGAACATGGTTTCTCCTGGACCCTGACTTCACCTGGCCACCTCCACCAGCTCAGGGGCAAATAATGACAGCTTTGAACCCTCCCTGGCTAAATAGCCTCCATCGAGGCATGAGTTGCCAAAGACTCAGCAACAGGAAAAGTGACTTTGCTAAATCAAGACTACAGGAGCAGGTACTGCCACTGCTGGGTCCCTGGGCACACAGAGCAGAGGATCTCTGGTGACCTGGACCCACAGTTCCCCGGTGAACAATGCAGTCAGTCCCTCTGGCTTTGTAGAATGGCCATGCTCTGAAGTATGGTAACACATTCAACCAAAACTCAAAGTTTAAATGTGAAATTGGCTGAATAGAAGGGTTAAAATTAAATCACCACCATATGGACTCAAGTCATTTTGTCATGTGAACAAATATCACCTCATGTATCCATTGTATGTATTTTATGTGTGTGAATTATATGTTCTTAGATAAAAGCACACTTTGGTTCTCTTAACTGTAAGAAAGACAGGTTGGGATTTTCTTCTTTATAGAACTAAATAAAAGCCATCCTTCTAGGACTCTTCCAAAGTCTTAATTATGAAGGTGAGGACTGAGGGGTAGGGGAGCGAGGGGAATTACTGGTCTCCGCTGGAGTGTAATGAAAGAGAACCCTGAGCTCACCCCAGTGTGGGGTATGCATGTGTGGGGCTGCGTATCTGCATGATGTGCCTGTGTTTGTGAGTGTTGTGAGTGTGTGTGTCTGAGAATGTGTGTGGGTGTATGTGAGTACTGTGAGTCTGGTGATCAGGGGAATGGTGGCCTTCAACTCCCAGAGATAGACCTGCAGGCAGGAAATTATCAGCGGAGACCTCTGCTTTCTGAAAGCCCGTTCCCAAGCTGAATTCTTCTCTCTGTTAGTTGGGCAGTATTCAGAAAGCATGACCCGGGTGCTCTTGTGTTCCTTTTCAGAGGTTGTGTGGTCAGAGAAGAGGTTATTACTGTTGTCATTGTTAATTTTCTAGTTATCAGGCATCTTGGGCAATTAGAAGGCAGAATGGAATCCCCTCCCTCCCCAGAACTTTCCACACAGCCTCCAAAGAGAGATTTGTCTCAGTCTATATTTGCATTCTCTCTAGTGTGCTTTGTACATTGTGTCTTAAATTCGCCCTTGAATAAAGATTTTTAAACTGGCAGAACAGCCTCGGGATATTTTTCACCTCCCCACACTGAAGTAGCTTTTTAGAGGCCATAAAGTGAGCTTGGGGATGGGCTGGGGATTTTGTTTAGTGGTGCCGCTGCCTGCCTCGCAAGCACAAGGTCCTGAGTTCCATTCCTGGTTTAAAAAAAAAAAAGC